ATTTCTCTGTTGTGCACAGTTTGCCCATATTCAGTCTCTCGAATGATGAGAAGCTATTCGGGACTCACTAGTCCCGACACATTCCCCCCACTCATTCGCGATGTCCTCATCGCGCACCAATCTCTTGTCAGGAGAGGAGGAGGAGATGTTATGGGTAGTTAGTTTGCCAGGCTCCATTTTGTCTTTTCTTGCTCCTTTCTCGGTTTTCTTCTAGTTTCCGGCCTTGGAACGGGGAGGGGTGTATGGGGTCAAGCTTTCTTTGTCCTTTAGGCTTCTCACGTCTCATTCATCACCCGTAGTACATCAAAACCCCATTTGTCTCATTCATCACCCGTAGTACATCAAACCCTTTTCGTCTCGTTCATCACCCTCAGAGCATCAAAACCCCTTTCGTCTCGTTCATCACCCTCAGAATATCAATCCTCCTTCCCGTTTTCCTCCTTTCGCTGCCCCCGCTTCTCCCTCAGCCTTGCCATCCCAAGCGCCCTTTGGTTGATCCTTCTTCCATCCCTTGCCAACCAGGCCCCTTTTCCGGCTTCCGTCACCTTTAATGCCTTTTCTACTCGGTAATTGACTTTGCACAGGCTTGAGAAAAGGGTCTGGCAAGATGTCCAGAAGAAAGAAATGGATAAGTAATTGACTTTGCATGGGCTTGAAAAGAGGCCTGGCAGGAGGGCCAGATGAGAAATGGATGAGTAATTGACCTTGCACAGGCTTGAGAGAAGGTCTGACAAGATATTCAGAAGAGAAAGACATGGGTAATTGGGTTTGCATAGGTTTAAGGAAAGGACTGGCAAAACGCCCAGAAAAGTGATATATGTGTAATGGACTTTGCATGAGTTTGAGCAAGGCCTGGTGAGATGCCGAAAGAAAGATGCGTATGGAATAAACTAAGTAATGCGGATTTTGAGAATGGGGGTGACATGCATGCGGAATTGGCAGGGCTAGAGAAAACTGGGCAAAATAACATGGGAAAAATACATGTGAATTTGGCCAAGCATGAGGTTGAGAAAAGGGTGACAAGAGGCATGGATTTCTTCTAGACATCTCACCAGACCTTTTCTCAAGCCTGTGCAAAGTCCATTACTCATCCATTTCTTTCTTCTGAACATCTTGCCAGACTTTTTCTCAAACCTGCGCAAAGTCAATTATACAAGCATTTTTCTTCTGGACATCTTGCCAGGCCTTTTCTCAAGCCTGCGCAAAGTCAATTACACAATTTCTTGAGCTCATGGTATCCTTCTCTGTCGCACGTTTTTTCATCGGTAGATGGCACACCTTCCCCCCACTCAAAATGCGATGTCCCCATCGCACGACTAGTCCTGACTCGGAGGTACGCAGACGGGCATCATTACTGAGGTACCTCCTCATATCTGGCAGGTAGGTCCAGTCCAAAAAGCTCCCAGGACCCCGTCTTGCCGTAAGGACTTTCTCGGGAATCGTTCCTCCCGAATGGTGTTTTCTTGGATCCAGCCTCTTCCTTTCAAGAGAGTTGGGACTCTCAATTAGTTTGCGAGTGCAGTTACGAGGACCTCGCGGTTAGTCCCGGAACGGTTGTAATGTTTCGGCACGGCAGTGTCACTCGCCCTGTGGTGGTTGCGGCTTCCACCCGGTACCACGCCTGACTCCTCCCTCTGGACAGTGCCGCTCAACTTAACGCGAGCTGCCGTGGTCCATTCCAAACAATCGTGCCGCCCCTCTACGGCATGGCGTGTGGTTGGGGAGAAAAAGTGAGACTTAGGAAAAAGAATGGCTCTCTTGCCCGTTTGGTTCCACGCACTTGACGTTTAGGTTCTCAACATGAGGCGCAGTTTGAACTCCCCGACTAGAGCTCGTTGTCGGGGTTAGTTCCGGACGGCCAGCATCAATCAAAGAGAGAGGTGCTTTGGTCCTTCAACCCTTATTCCTTCTTATGACGAGCAGGTCGCGCTGAGACTTGCCCTTGACGGTAGAGGTCATGAGGTTGCGATGCATGCACAGCTATCCCCCTTATGTTGAGACCCGAGACTAGCAGAAAAGAAAAACTCAATCTCTTGCTGTTTCCATGGTCGTCCCGACGACCTTACATCGAGTTGCCTAGGGTCCCCTGAGTATGCAATGCAATATCCAATTCTCAAACACTCCATCCTACGCTATTTCCAAGGCTGATTCTCATGGCTGGTCCGACAACCTCTCATCAATCAAGGCCACCCCTTGTGGCCACTCTGGCGGTCGCTTTCTTAATAGCCATTCTCACAAGGGCCGACCCGTCGGCCCACCTTCAATCCTCATCTTTCACATTCCCCAATACTTATTCCTTATGACCGTCCCTCCGGTCCATGCTTCTCTTGTCTTAAGGCTCAGCCTTCTTTATCCTGTCCTTCTCATTCTCATTCGTCCATTTTCATGGTTATCTCAATGACCGACCCACCGGCCTTTTCCATCTCTTCCATCCATCCCATTGGCTATTTCAATGACCGACCCACCGGCCTTTTCCATCTCTTCCATCCNAATGACCGACCCACCGGCCTTTTCCATCTCTTCCATCCATCCCATTGGCTATTTCAATGACCGACCCACCGGCCTTTTCCATCTCTTCCATCCATTCCATTGGCTATTTCAATGACCGACCCACTGGCCTTTTCCATCTCTTCCATTCATCCCATTGGCTATTTCAATGACCGACCCACCCCTTTTCCATCTCTTATTGCTCATTCCAACTCATTCTCCATCAACCTTTCTCAATCAATTATGCAGGGGACCCCAGTGCCTATTTCAAAAGGGATGACCCTTGTCAGGGGCCATTTCCGAACAACCTGGTCAGGGTCGTTCTTTTCCATTCTCAAGTCAAACAGCCTGGTTAGGGCCACTCCTTTCCATTTTCAAGTCGAACAGCCTGATTAGGGCCATTCCTTTCCATTCTCAACTTAAACAGCCTGGTTAGGGGCATTCTTTTCCATTCTCAAGTCGAACAGCCTAGTTAGGGCCATTCCTTTCCATTCTCAATGTTAGTGCCCGAGGGGGTGGGCCTCGAGGTTACGGATCCCATTTCTGTCTTGGAGGTTAGAAGGTGGTCATCTCATCTCAGTTTTTAGCGTGCTGTTCCCTTTCTTCCATTTCTCACAGTAATGTACTATCCATGCATACATCCGACTTAGCGTCTAGTACTCGAGTCGGGGCTCGCGACCCCAAGCAGCACTAGCCACCCGGTCGTTCAACCATACCAAAAGACAGGGGCGCCCCCTCTTATTTTCACTCGTTCTGATGACTCAGACCTCTGCTATTCTCAGACTCCTTCATGACTCAGTTGGATTAGGCTCATAGGGAAGGAGTGTTCTTCACGCCCCTTAACCCATAGGTTCCCTAACCTCTCCTGTACTCGACCAACATTCATGCTTTGTTTGCTCGTCAATCTTTACTTCAAAGTTTCTTTTCTCAAAAGCACAATCCTCATCCCATCCAAAATTTACAATACATCCTTCCCAACTAGTCTCATCCCATGCCCCATGTCATTGTCTTAGGTATCCTTTTTTGAAGGTAGCTCATCCAGAAAGTAGCCTCAAAATGTTATCCTCTAACTTATCGTGACACAGTCTTAGCTGGCCTTCTCATCACTCATCCTTAGCAAGCTTACTCATACTATACATGCTCTCGTCACTCCCATATCTTGCAAAAAAAAAAAAAAAGCAGGAATCATGTTCAATGCTTAATCGACATCTAGTTCCTATTGCTGCCTTGTGCCTCAGCTTGCCCGATTCCTTGTCCACCCTGTTCCTTGGCGGGTTTTCTAACCCCCAGGCCGTAGGTCTCAATTTCTCTCCCTTTTCTTGCAATCTCTTGTAATTCCGCCTCACTAAAAAAGTCCAACGGCGTGGCTTCCACCCCTGCATTTGCGGGTTCCCGGGTCTTGATGATCCACTCGTACCTGATCACATTGGTCCATTGTTGAAACCAATGACTGGGCGTTGGCCCAAACTCATCCTCCCATCTGAAGGCCTCATCGCGCAGCTGGTGCATTGGAGGCCGCCTCTCTTCCCTAGGCCTCGAGATCTCATCCCTTTCACCCCCGCTGCTGATTTCTATGATCTCTTGTACATCCTCCTCCTCATCCTCCTCGTCCTCCGTCTGTATGGGGCTATACCCCCCGTTAGGTTCTTTGGATCGTAGGTACAAGGAATCTTTGTCCTTGTCTCATACCCCTCACAACTGTCGTGGCCGCTTCGTCCTTCAAGCGGGCTTTCTCTTCTCTCCTCCCCATCCTCACGCTTGTCGTGCATGTCCTGTTCCCCCTCGCTTTCCCTACGCCAAGTCTCACGTCGTTCGCCCCTGTTGGCTCCTTCCTCGCCAGAGGCCTGAGCCTTATCTCCCATATCGGCATTGCCCCCTTCTCCCACATTTGCCCTTTCCTTCTCGCCCTCACTGTCAGATGAGATACCTTCTCCCTTGCGGAGGGGCGAGGGTCTTCTACATACGCACTTTTTTTCACCCCTGCCTACCACCGGCCCGCCCATGAGCCCTTTGTACAACTTTCTCTTCGCTGTCCTCCTCCCTTGGCTTGGTCCTACTTCTTCCCCTCCGGTAGGCCTGTTGATTGCCCCGTTGTCGTTCTCGTTGCCGAATTCCATTTTTGCTTTTTCTCGTTTTTCTTCTAAGTCCTGTATAACAAAACAACACTCTCAATGCCCCTCATACACCCGTTCCCCCAGTTCGATAGGCAGCTCCCCTTTCCCCAGAATGCTCCCAGTATCCTTCGCATCATGCCCCTTTTATACATTTCCCTCCCTTATGCAAATGCGCCGTTTGTGAAGGTCCCATTATTTCCCCGTCAAAAACTATGATACAATGCCTCAACAATCCTCCCCGTCGTCGCACAAGCCCGTTACCGCAAATTCCCAAGTTACCCTGCCTTCCAACCTCAGTCCGTCCAACCCATTGTCCCAGCCCCAAAAAAAAATGACAGTCCCACGAGCGCAGTCAGTGATCAAACCATAACGTGGTCATGGCCGTTGTCAGTCCTTAACCTGTTGCCCTTCGGTTTCCTTATCCTCGGCCTCCTGAAGCCATTGTTCCACTGGGTCTCGACTTCGAAACCTGACCAATCGTTGCCCCGAGAAAGGTCCTTTCAATCCAGTTCCATCCAAATCTTCGAGTTCGAAGGTGTTCAATCCCACCCGCTTGGCGACCCGGTAGGGGCCTTTGAACCTCCTCCCCAGTTATCCAGACCAAGTACTTTCCAGTGCCGAGTTCCTTAGCAATATTGTCTCCCCCACCAGAAGTGACTCCTTTCTGACATTCTTAACTTGGTCCCATCTTGCTTTGTCCCTCATTATGTTGTCTAGTACCCGGTTGGCGATGTCTTCCATGACTTCTTCGTTCTCAAGGACTTGTTGACATCTTGCCTCGATTAACTCTTCCGTGGTCATTCGCGGACCCTCGTCTAACTTGTTCCAGGTAGGTATCAAGGCCTTAACGGGAAAGTCGATCTCCCTCCCGTACCAAAGTTCTGCTGGGATACATCCCGTTGTCCTCTTAGGTGTCATGTTCTATGAGAAGACAGCCTGCTTGAGATACCTCGGCCAACTTCCCAGATGATCCGCTGCGAGCTTTGCAATCCTGTTCTTTAAGGTCCAGTTTGATCGGTACGCAGAGTCTCTTAAGCATTCCCAATACTTCCTAGTTCACAAATTTCGTCCCATTGTCCGCTATAAATATCCTGACGAAAGGATGCCTTAAATAAAAGTCTTCTATCCAGTTCGCTACACTTTTCCCAGTCTTTTTCTTGAGAGCGACCGCCTCCACGAACCCACTCAAGTGGTCTCGCGCATCTAGAATATACCTCTACCCATCTGTTGATACAGGCATGACCGCAAGGTCAAGGTGGACCAGATGTCCCGGCCCTAGCACCCGCGTACGTCTAAGCGGCTCAAAGACTCGCGTCGAGCTTCGTTCTTGGCAGATAAGGCATGTCTGGCAGTATATGGCAACCATGCTCGCCATGCCTGGCCAATAATAAAGTGGCGCTATTTTTGCAAGAGTTCCTTTGGACGACCGATGTCCTCCTGCTAATCCGTCGTACATTGCTTGGATAACGTCCAACTGCCTAGATCTTCCGCACACAACTCTTCTAGGCATAGCACCTTCTTCTCTTCGGAACAGATGGCCGCCCCTTAGGACGTACCTTTCGGCCTCCTCCCTTGCTTTAGCGTTGACTTCCGTGGGTTGCTTGTTTCCTACAAGCAACAACCCGATCTCTCGAAAGATCCCTTCGTATATCCGGGCATAGAAAAACTCCTTCCTTTCGTGGTCCTCGTCCTTTCTCTCCTGCATCTGGTTTACCATCCATTGCAACTCTTTCTTTTCCAAAGATTCCACTAAGCTCATCACGGCTTCCCGCCCTCCCTCAACCGCCATTGCCATTAGCTCCTCCTTCGGTCCTACTATTGCTCCCCATGAATCTCTCTCCTCTTTACGACCTCGAGTGGTGACGGGTCCTTCCCTAAGTTCTGCTACTACGGCAGGCGCCCCCTTCTCCAAAGTCTGGATCAACAATTCTCCCGACGCGCATTCTTCGCCCATCATTTCGTTGTCCACCGCAAAAGTTCCTACCTCGAATTCAAGGAACGAGTCTATAGGCTCCGCATCCTCCACCCCTTCGGGAGTGATGCAGACCCGACTCAGCCCATCCGCCTTCTTTCTAATTCCAGCAATCCGTTCGATCTTGTAGTCGAACTGCTAGATAAATCCTACCTATCTTCCCACCGTCGGATCTATAGGCCTGTAGTTCTTTAAGGCCCCTGCAACATTCGTCGGATCGATCCTTAAGATGAATCGCCTCCCAAACAGGTAGGCCCGGAAGGTCTTGAGGAAATGTAAGATGGCTAAGACCTCCTTTTTGAACTGCGAGTACCGCCGTTCTACGGAGTTCAGGGTTCTACTTTTGAACCTAATCGGTCTCTCTCTCCCTTCCTCGTCCCGTTGAATCAGCACGCCTCCTACGGCCAAGGGTCCTCCATCCGTTTCTAGGATGAATGGTCGTCCCACTTCGTCATTAAAACAAGGCGCTGACAAGGCGACTTGCTCGGATGTCAATATGTCCTTAAGGGTTTGGACGACTCCTTCTCGCTCCTCCATCCAATCCATGGTTCCTTCTTCTCTGATCATGGCCCGGATAGGTTCGGCAATCTTGGCAAAATTCTTAACGAAGATCCTCCAAAATCCAACCACGCCTAGAAACGCCCTGACCTCCGTTGTCGTGCGCAGGGGTGTTGGCCATTGCGATATCTTGTCCGTCTTTGCCAGATCCGGCTTCCTACCGTACGCGCCGCAGCGAAATCCCAATATGGTTACTTCTGGTACTGCTAGAATACTCTTTGGTCCACTAGCCGTGACGTTGTATACTAGGAATCGACGAAGTAAGTCCTTGATGTCTTGTAGACGGTCCCACACAAACCTTCGGATTCCCGGCTGGACTTCCGTCTCGTCCTTTTCCTGCGCGCCTTTGATCGGATTATTGTCGATGTAGGGCTCACACTTCTCTGGAAACATATCTCCGGCTACGACGAGCATCCTCCTTTGCGCTTCGGCTACCGCGTTCGTAAAGCCCATAGGGGTCACCTGCATCTGCAACTGGCCTACGGGGGTGTGCATTGCGGTGTACGGCCTATCCCTGACATCCAATGGAAGCTGGTCGTACCCTGAGTACAAATCGATCAGGGAGTAAATGCTCCAGTCGGCGTGCGATTCTGCTAACAAATCAGCCTGAGGTAGTGAGCCAGCATCCCGGATGGTTACCGCATTCAACTTCTGCAGATCCTGAATCCATCTTAGTGTTTTGTTGGGCTTCCGAAAGACGAACCACCGGTTCGCGTCTGGCGACGCTGTAGGTTCTGCGACGAAGGAGTCCATCTTCGCTCGGAGGAGGTCTGTCACTTCCCCTGCTATCCCAAACTCATAGGACGGACCCTTATCGTTCCAGCACTCATGCTCTACTGTGTGGATTCTGACCGGAGGGATCAGCTTCGCATCCAGCCGCCCCTTTTGATCATCACTAAAAGCAAATGCCAGGTGAAACTCTTGGAAGGTCCTTTTGATCAGGCGATCTTCCTCCTCCGTTAGGAATCCTTCTACCCCTATCTTCATTGTGTCAGCTACCTCATCTGGTATCCGATGCCCTTCCGTCGCTCTTCTCTCTTGGATCACTTGGAGGACTTCCTCCTCCTTCTCCATAAGCCTCTTCCTTTGATGTCTCTAGCAGGATCGAGACCGGTTTTTCTTTCTTCCCTACCGGCTTGTACTTTCGAAAACTTCCTTCCGGGATCTTTCTCCTAAAAAATGAACGGCCGGAATTGCCCTCGTTGCTTCTACGACTTGTGGTTGAATACTAACTAATTTCCCATTCAGACAATATCCTTTTTGCACCTCTCCTTCGAATTTGGCCAGGGCCGCCGAGTCCACTCCTACCTTGTGGTATCTAAGGGCCTTGATGAGCTCTCGAGCGCGACTTCTGGCACGTCCATGCGTACTTCTTTCCGCTTGGGCAGGCTGGCACCAAGTTTGACTTTTGACTCCTTTTCTGCTACCATAACACCTAGGACTTCGTCCTCCTTCCTCCTCTTCTTCTGGGGCAGGCCCATCTTGATCCATTCCTTCTTATTGAAGGCCTCCTCGATCATGATCTCTACCCTCTCTCTCATGCCCTCCATTCGAGCAAAGGCCCCTTTTCGTGTGCTATCTGCAAACGACGACGACCATGTTGCCAATTTCCCCTTCGGGGGGTCTCCTCCCATTCCAAGGAGTCGGAGGAGCTCTCCCCTGCCGGTCACTGGGTCCTCTATGTCTACCACGTACGAGCCGTCGTGCAAGTGCATGCCTATCCTTTCTACGTTTGCGCACCACGGTCTCCCGAGGATTATGTCGTGGTCCATTTCCTCCATTACAGTCATCCTCTGAAACGACCAGATCGACTCCCGGACTCCTGCCTTTACCGCGCACTTCGTGACGTACCCAGCAAACGGGATTTCCCCGCCAGCCCCCCGGATGCTCCCTGTTACTTCCTTCTTTACCGTACAACCCGTGATTGTTGCGAAATCTCTCCTTATGAGAGTGATTTCTGCTCCCTCGTCTACTAATGCATCGGTATGATGAGTCCCGATCTGGACTTTCAGCTTCCCTACGGGCAGTGCATGAAAGCTAAGCTTTGTCCCGGGTGGTGCCCTCATGACCTCGCCGCCCTCTCGGTCGGGCAGGCTCAAACGGATGTTTGCAAAGGCTTTCTCGAGATCCTCCAAGTCCCCGCGACTCCTCTGCAGGTTAGAGATCCTCCAAGTCCACGTGACTCCCTTTCCTCTTCCAGCGCTTCGGGGTCCTCATCTATCTCTACTCGTCGCCGAGTCAACAGTTGTCTAAGCCCTTTAAGCAACCTAGGGCTGGCCTGCAGCATGGTCTAAAATGACACCGACACCATGGTCCCTAGCAATTTGCTAAGGGTGTCATCGACCTCTGGTATGGTTAAGATCGGAATCTAATACCTAAACTTATTTTTGGCGGCGGTAACTTTATCTATGGGTTCCTCTTCCCTAGGCTTCCCATTGACTTTGTCTGGTTCCCCGGCCTCAGGTTCTGCCTGGGGTACGGAACTCCCAGCAACCTCCTCCATCACGGTGTCACGGATAATCCTTCTCCCAGCCGTCCCTAGCCGAGTAGTCGCGTTCACCCTATCACGTCCGCCGCTTTCCAAAATGAAGTTGACCTGCGGCCCACGACCCCGCAGTTGTTCCCAAATGATATCGACCACCGGCTCAACTTTTACGATCGGTATCTTTAGCCCATTGAGCATGATAACGGCTCGCCGCATTCCTCTTGGCGAGTTCCAATTCACCTGTTCTCCCTGCGGTCCAAATATCTCCCCCTTTAACGACCTGGTACATCTCCTTTTTAATATGTCATGGTTGAGCTTTGGACATGCGCGTACATAATGTCCCATCGCGGTGCAGTACTTGCATTGCTCGTTAGCATGATCTCTCCGTCCAAATCCCCGATTAGCTACACCCGGCGGAACTACGGCTTCCTGGGGAGGGAGGGGGGGTCGGGATACTTGCGCCCGCATAACCAATAGTGCGCTCCCCATCCTTCCAATCTTGTTGTCGACTCCGTGCACCCGTTCATGTAGACTTTCGATCCCCTTCTTTACCTTGTCGCCTGTTCTCCCGGTCAAGTCTATGACCTCCCCTTCCTTACGCAAGGCCAGCGTCTCGGTCACTACCGTCTTTTCGGCCAGATCCGTTACGGTGCTAAAATCCACATCCCTAGTGTTTACGAACTTGCTCGTCTGTTGGTAGGCTGATAAAATTTAATCTTTGTCGAACTCGGAGAACTGCCTAAGGAAGTATTTGCTCATTATTCGGTCCATCACTCCCGGGATCCTTAGTGTTACCAGAGTAAACTCCCATAGGAAGTCATTGAACGTTGAGAAGTTCTTCCTCTAGACTGCCGCTAAGTCCGCCTCTGTACCCATCTTCTCCGCTGCTAGGTACTTTTTCATCATCACATCCCGGGTTTCCTTCCAGGATCGGCTTGCGGCTACGATGGCCATTATGTCCTCTCCCAAGCTCAAAGACACATGCTGCCCTAGGTGGTCCATCTTTTCTTCTTCGGTCCATTTCAACAGCGGGGCCAGATTCTCGTAATCTATCAGGAATTTCGTGATGTTCGCCCCGTCAAACGTCAACTTTTTCTTAGCATCCGCGAGGTAGCCTTGATTTTTGTTTAGTGCTCGCGCGAGGGACGACACTATCTTCCTAAGGCCGCCCTCAAAGCTACTGGCCTCGCCTGCCATACTGTTATCCGGACATTCCTTGTCGGCCTTCCGTCCCTCCCTAGTCTTCGCAGTTCCCTCCGGATCGAACCATCCCAACACTCTTTCCCTGAGGCTCCAGAGCCCTTCACATCCTCGTGTTCCTGCTGGTGTGGTCGGCAGACGGCTAACCCTACTATCTATAGCTGGTGGGTTCTGGCTTTCTTTGCTTCCACCCCCGGGGAGTTCTCTCTCTCTTTCCTCCTTTTGCTCGGTGTTCCCCCACGGTCACTACCTTTATCCCCTTGTCCAGTTCCGCCTCGGCTGGTTTTTCGCTCGTCCCGCGGTTCCTCGTGCAGAGGGCCTTCTTCGTTCCCAGTCATCATTTCCTCAATCAATCTTGCCTTGTACTCTGCGGTCCTCTTTTCTATCTCTGCTAGTTTGCGCCTCGCATCCGTGACCCTTACTTTCTTCGACACAGCTCCCTCTGGATTCCGAGGGTTTGTCCTATCCTTATTCCTGCCCTCCTTGGTTTCCTGAGTCCCTTGCCTGCTTCCCCCGGTTTTTCCCGAGCTTTCCCCTTAGGAGATTTCCTTCCGGTTCCCTTTGGTACCATCCGGATTTATCGATTCTCTGTCTTTCTGCTCTTCTTCGCTTTGTGCGGCACTGCCTCCTAAGCCTGGTCCTCCTTCGCCCTTATGGTTATCCGTCTCATCCTCCGTGGCCATTCTTCCTAGTTCTGCATAAACCAGAGAATTCCCAGGACACACGCAATGCGAGGTATTTAGGTTCCCTAGGTTCCCGACGTCGTTGGCTTATCTTTATTCGGTAAATAGCCTTCTCCCTACTTCCGTTTCCTGATTGCTTGCCTAAAAAAAAGGGGCCACGACTGACCCTGCTGCCCTGCCGAGCTAAGGGCGTAACTTAGTTTCCTTTATCACAGGCTCGTTTAAAGGATCCTTGCCCCGTTGGGCCAGTGCGTAGGAGTCCGGGTCAGGCATCCCGCTAGGGAAAGTTTCCCGAGCAGTATTTCCCTTTTTGACCTTCAGGGTCACGGCAACCATTAGGAGTCTACCCCCTCCCCCCTTCATTCTTCAGCGGTTTCTGATCGTCCGGGTCCGAAGCCCTTCCTCATTTCCATCGGCGGATTTATACTTAATTTGCCCTATTGGCCCATCCCGGAGGCTAGTCCCATTCTCACCCTCGTGGCCCTTCTGGTTCGGTAGGCTCCTCGAATAGTTGAGCCACCCCTGCTAAATAACTCTCTCCTATCTCGATCTCTCTTAGGATTATGTGCTCGTAATCCGCCCAGGCTAGTCGAGGCAACCCAAATATCAAAATATGGATGACTTCAAGTAACTCATGGGCCCTGTTTCCCCAGAACGGCCCATGTTCCACAGAAACATCGTAAGAACATCCAGATGGTCTGAAAGGGGAAAAGGTCTACCCAGACTATCGCTTAGTCTGCCAGCGCTTGTGCCCTTGTGAGGCTCCCGAAAATGAGGTCTATCATAAACCGGGGGACTCGACACCTCAACGGTGTGGTTGGTGCCCTGAACTCCCTCCAACCGCCCATTTCCACCCTGGTAAGCAAATCCACGTTTCTTCTACCCCTGACCGATTGTCCTATCCGCGTCAATGTCCGGGCTGCCATCCGAAAAACTGGAGCCAACTCGTGGCCTTGCGCTATCCCTATCCCCAATAAGTGCCAGCCAACCTCGGGGAGGTATAGGACCCCGGTTACCTCTAAATTGGTGAACAAATCGTCCCCATACCCTCGGTTGAGTCTCATCCCCGTCCACCGACATTCCACCAACATGAAGGTGTTGTCTCTTCCTAGGGTCACGGCCCGCCATTCCGCGTCGAACCCCCGAAAGTTGGAATTCGACAGGAGGGATACTTCCCATCGCCCGCCGTTATTCCAGGGCGGTCTGGGGTACCGGGGCTAACGTTCCATTCGCACACGGGGCTGGGGTTCCATTCGCACGTGTTGCTGCCATTGTTGCCTTGGCGATTCCCTGCATAGTCCACATAGAGAGGGTTACAGCCAATCCTTAGTAAACGTCCACCTACTGCCCCCTTACCCTTCATGTTTTCATTCTTCTTCTCTGATCCCAACTATCCCTCCACATCCCCAGGAGCAGCAACCCCCTCCGGTTATTCGTACAACGTGTAAAGGTCATCTATGTAGGTCGCGCCCCGACCTACTTCCCGCCGGATGACTCTCCACATAGCCTCATCACTTATTTGCGGAACTCCTAACCTAGTATTTACTGCTGCTCGTAGTATACAAAGCACCTCGTGCCCCTGTTCGTCTTCAAAAGGCCCCATCTCTAGGAAGGCCCGGTAGTATTCTTGATACATTAATGCTTCGTCAAAATCTAGCCTAGTTATGGCAGCTACCGCCTGCTCCACTCGCTCTACGTCTCCCAGTCGTCTTAGTAGATAGGGTGGCAGACTCATTCGTACGACCTCATTTGGCAATTCAAAGACCCCTGCTGCGGCGACCTTTACCTCAGCCGTCACGTCATCTCGTTCCGGATCCGCGAACTCAACCCCTCCCGCCAGGTTATTTGCCATGCTCCTTCGAACATTCGCACGGGGTCGTCCCCGGACGCCAAGGTAATCCCAAAAGTTCACCATCCTTCTGCCGACAAGTGTAGGGATCCCTTCGCATGCACGCGCCCTGGGAGTTCCAAATTTATGCCCCCGAACTCTCCTCTCGCTCGCCATTCCAGCTCTACTACTATGTACACCGTGTCTTCCACCAATTCTACCCCCACCCAATCCATTACCGGGTTACTTATCACGTTTCTTGCTGGCAGGCTTATTTCGACCCTTCCCCCTGATGCTCTTGGTGGTAGGATCCCACGGGGCCTATCCTCCCAAAATGTCATTCGCCGGGCCATCTTGCAATGTCTCCTTTCCTGCTTCCTTAGTCCGATTGCTGCACCCACCGAGATTCCATGCCTTTCGTGTTTTAGCCTTTCAACACTCCCTACCTATCGTACACTGGTTCTTGCTACTATCCCTGTCCCATACAAGTACACATCTTCTTCCCCTTTTGGTGTTGCTACCTTCCTTGTTTCGGCCCCCTCGCATCCCCTGCTAACTAATGTACTCGCCCCCTTTTCTTGCACTACATCCTGATTCACCTGCATCCTTCATACTCCGATCTCCCCGCGGTGTTTCGATTTTTGGGTCCCTCTAATTGAACCACATAGGATGGCGCGACCGCCGCCTCCCGACTAACTATGGCGTCCCAAGCCTTCGCGTCTACCTCTAGACGATCGTACTTACCTATCCTCAGGACGGTGATGACTTCACTGGCTTTATCGCCGTAGAAGGGCTCATATTTTAAGGACATCCATAAGAATTCCTCGGTCAACCAGGCACATTCTATGTGCACTTCCCTCATGGAGTCGGCCACGTCTGCTATGTGCTCGAATCCCCCGAACCAGTCGGCCACGAACTCGGGCACCCACGCCATTGTGCGCAGGCATGGAGGCTTGAGTTCCCTCCATCCTCCCATCACAACTCTGCTACTAACTTCGTCCCACCCCTCGTTGGCGAACCTCTTGCCTTCCTTTCGGGTTCGCGCCTCTGCATCCCCTAGAAGCCACATTGGATCCTGTCCCATTGCTAAAGTAGTGCAAAACAGGTGCCACCCATCTTCGGAAAGGACAATCGTTCCGATCGACTCCACTTTGCCCTCTGCTATCTCGTCCCAACCTTCCTCTTCCCTTATCGGGTTCCAAATCCGTTCTGTCCATACATATGATAATTCTCGGGCAACCTCAAACCCAACACAATCGCACGTGGTCCCCCTCCACTCGTTTTCCGTTGGTATAGGCATTTTGATCCCTCCTCTGAGTCGCCTTGGTTCCCACCCCTTGAAGATGTATTCCATCATCCTTTCCTCTCTAGTCATCTTTTTCCCCTCCCTGCACAATACCAGGCCACCTGCTATCCCTAAGTTAAGTCATCCTCCTTAGAAGTCCCAGTCCTCTATCTCATCATCCTCGTCCTCATCACTGAAGTCGTCCTCTTCGTCATGGAACAACTCTTTCACCCCTTCCAGAAATGTCTCCCCTACTGCCACATTCCTATAGACTATCCCCCAATGCACGGAGCTAGCGACAAAAACATCGTCTACACTAAGGCGATTTAGTACCTCGACCAGCTCGTCCGCCCAGTTCCCCTCAAACGTCCCCATTTCTACCGACAACCGAAAGAAGTCTTGCCTAGCACACTGGTATAGTCCAAGGTTCATCATGGACTGGCATATCCGCACTAGTCTGCTTCGGGTTCCGAAAACCGCATCCACCAGGAAGCGAGGCAGCACAAATCGCATGGTTCTGACGGGTCGCCTCATGCTCCCTCTATCCCCAAGTTCCACCCGCACGTCTATCCTTTCCATTTCCATTTCCCTCCGCTGACACGCAGCCCACACAACCTCCACTTTTGCCTTCCTAAACAACTTGTCCGGCGCATTCCCGAGTGCCAACTCTATGACCATAGCATTTTCCCCACCTTGCGACAAGTAGACCCACCCCCAGGCTTCCACTGTCCCTCGGAATTCCAAATCCATTAAACTTGGTGACAACCTTGTCAAGCTGACATTAGTCCATACTGTTTTTATCCAAAGAAACGCGTTCTCCCCTTCCAGTATTGCCGTTTGATACGCTGGTTCAAGGTCCGTCCACGTCCCATCTTCCGGGAGGACGACCGATACCCCATCCTTTACATCTACTGGCATTTTCGGGCCGCTGGTATAGATCAGGGAAGGCAACCATAGCGCCATCTTGTTTTCAGCACCCGACCCCTGTTTTCATAAAAGAGTACCAACCGGTCCTTTTGGTCAGGTCAACCCTCGTCCTAGATGAGAATTATTTCAGACCCCTCATCAAGGTCTCCCTAATTTACCTCCCCATTCCTAAGTACCTTCTTCCCATAATACCTTCGGTCGGCCATCCATTCCCCCACATTCTTTCTCTTGGTTCCATTCCAACTGACCTTCTATCCTCCTTCCTTCCGATCATCTCTCACTCGTGTAGACTTAGATGAGGGGGGGGATAGACTTAGAATATGTCCCGTCCAACAATCCAATCTCAATCAATCTTTACAGAGGGGAAACACATAAAAAAAATCAGGCAATCTCACATACGGGCCAGTCATCTCCTCACCGGTCATCCCCAATATGGTCTCTCCGCTGGTACTATCGGTAGAGTTTTATCCCATACCTCAAGCGCAGCTCAATCGTCGCGAGCGCGGTACCCAGGCTCCGACAAGGCGTTAGCCCTTTCCTTGTACCCAGAATACCCCATCCCGTCTTACCGCTCTTGCACATCCATACCGACACCGAGGGTTACCCCGTGTGCCTAAGTACAGGGACAAAAGTCAGTCATCCGGGCATTCACTTCCATCGGTCCGATAAGAATCAGCCTTTCCCAAACCATGCTACGAAAAGCTACTAATCGTCTCCGAGGCTCCGTCTTTGTCCGCATGCAGTGGTACCCCCCCCGCCAATCAACAGGCTAAGCCCCGCCAGAGGAGATTTCGCACCCCGTCCGGCAGATCATCGAGCAAAAGCCAGTCACCGCTCGAACGGAAATGCTACTAATCAACCGGCGTGACAAACTCTCGTCCGACAGCTCGATGGCCTGTCATGCAAAGACGAGTCTCAAGTGGGACACATAGAATACAAGTGTCTTTCCCTTGGTGCTCCCAACGCTTCCTACCCATAACTCACATTTTTCTCTCAGGACAATGAGTGTCAGTCCCCCTATTATCATACATAGTGGTTGGTTCCTTCTCGTGAGAGTCTTCAAAGGTGAGCTAGTTTTCCTTGGAGTCTAACAACTCCCTTCATTCCCTTTCTCTTCACTTATCTGTCCTTTCATAGGGTAGGATTGTTCCTTCTTGATGACCCGTTTTGTTCATGTTGGTTCCTTCAAGCATTTCAAACAAAAGTGCAAAGTGCATGAGCCCACTGGGCTCAAAGAAGAAGATAGAAGGGCACCCGTTCGGTCGGATCACTCCGCCACGGGATTTTCAACGGAGCATGGCCTAAGCCAAGCACCAACCGCCTGCCAGGTAACCGGAGCCCTTCTTTCATACGAAGAGGAAGGGTCGACCTGCGACTTGCCCAAGGTTTCCCCGAGTTGGCGAACACCAGTACCGGACGAAGGAGGGCTAGAGCCATTCCACAAGGGAAAGGTTAATCAAGTGCATAGCATGCATGTTATACCTCCAAGCCTGGCCATGCCATGCGCCCAACCACTCTCAAATTTGATTTCTCACAAGGGAAAGAGCAAACACAAGTCCATTTTCCTTATCTTGGGTTGTGTACGCGTTCAATGCGTTGGGCGCCCCCATCGGAATCGCGAGGGTCAATTTAACCCGATACCCGACATCTCCACCATTTTTGTAGGGCCAAACCCCAGAAGACTTTCGAGCCTTAGTCGACCCTACTGCGGGTCCCTGTTGGCTCGGCCCGCCCACGCTCATGCTCAGGGCGCGATCCGTTCGTCCCAGGGTCACCCCCACCTAGTGCTTTGAGATGGATGGGGGTGGGCCATTGCGCGAGAGAGCTTTGACATTCGGGATGTAGCTCAGCCCTCACGCCAGGTGGTAATCTGGTCATTCCGCAACGCTGATTTTTTTTTTATATTCATAGTTGTGTTCTCACGCAATTGCTCCTTCCAATACGCAGGCAGTCCAAGGATTCTTTGAGTGTTTCTCTTCTCTTGTGCGCAGGCTAAGCGTCATCCTTAGGCCGCGCACCATTTCCCTAAGCATTGTGGCTATATGGCGTCATCGGGGTGCGGCGAAGCCGTCCTCCCCTTCGCCTCTACTCATCCATCGAGTCTCACAATTTGCTTTCAACCTTATTGAAGTAGGCCCCTTAGTCTTTTCGGGGCCCTTATATGCATGCACACACAACATCACATTTTCCTTGGTACGATTGCACTCTCATTTACACTCCAAGTCTCAAGTGCAAAAGTCATTTCCATGGGTTGGCTCTGTGCCAAGGGTCCCGTAGCCCCTTTGTCCCTCTTCCCTTTCCCACTTGGTGCCCAGTTCCTTCCGGCCCTATCCCGCTCAAGGCATCCTTTGCCATCACTCACCTGCACGATCCCACACAAAGGAAAAATCCATACAATCACATAGCCCTTCCCACACGCCTATCTTTTCAAACTCCTTGGCTGTTCTTTGTTCCCTTTTCTTTACTCAATCATCCCATCCTCTTCTCATGGCCAAGCGGTCGGGAAAATGGTTGAGTCAAACTGACCTTGCTTTCACTTATACTCTTTCTTGGATTCCGCCTTTTCCTTCTTTTTCAATGTCCCTTTTCCTTTGCCTTCTTGGTGGCACAAGGAACCGACTATCCTTCCCTTGCCCTCTCTCTCCACCAAGTGAGGTCTAATCCCCCTTTCTTGTTCGCACACTGGCATTGTAACAAGGAGAGAAGGGTTAGTCATATGCCAAGTGAGGGGAAGTGAGAGAGGAAGGCAAGGTGAACATGGGAGAGAAAGAGTGGTGGAGAGGGGGGGGAGAGAGAAGGAGAGATAGAAAGAGAGAGAGAGAGAGAAGAGAGAGAGAGAGAGAGAGAGAGAGAGAGAGAGAGGGAGAAGGGGAAAGAGAAGAGATGTCTAATCCTAATCAAGTCATCACTCGTAGTACCAGCCAAATGCCAGTCCCCCATCCTATAGAGAAAGATCAACTAAGCATGAACCGGAATGTGATAATACACATGAATTTGACACTGAAAGATTGAAAGGCACATGCAAATAGATGGAAGACCAACTAAGTAAGGGCCGCAACATCACAACACACACACTTGACAATGAAAGGCTAGAGCTAGTGGAAAGCATATGCACATAGGGGAAAGATCATCTAAGTAAGATCTGGAACATCACAACACACATGAACTTGACAATGAGAGGCCAGGCTAGTGGGAAGCACATGCACATAGGGGATAGATCATCTAAGTAAGATCCGGAATATCACAACACATATGAACATAACAATAAGAAGTTAGAACTAGAGGAAAGCACACGCACATAGAGAAGAGATCAACTAAGTGAGATCCCGAATCATCACAACACATGAACTTGTCAATGAGAAGCTAGAACTAGAGGAAAGCATATGCATATGAAGAATAGATCAACTACGTAAGATCCGGGACATCACATCAAACATGAACTTAACAATGAGGAGCTAAAGCTAGAGGAAAGCACACGCGCATAAAGAAGAGATCAACTAAGTAAGATCCGGAACCTCACATCACATATGAACATGACAATTAGGTGCTCGACTAGTGGAGAGCACATGCACATAGAGAAGAGATCAACTAAGTAAGATCCGGGACATCACATCAAGCATGAACATGACAACGAGAAGCTAGAACTAGTGGAAAGCACATGCACATAGAGAAGAGGTCAACTAAGTAAGATCCGAAACATCACATCAAGCATGAACATGACAGCGAGAAGCCAGAACTAGTGGACGGCTCATGCACATAGAGGAAAGACCAACCGGAACATCACACCAAGCATGAACAGAGGAAAGACCAACCGGAACATCACACCAAGCATGAACATGACAATGAGAGGCTAGAACTAATGGAAAGCACATGCACATATAAAACAGATCAACTAAGTAAGATC